CGAAACAAGAATGGCCTCGAGTCCTGCTAAAGTCGCTGACACCTTAAGTAACACAGAGAGTGGCGACTCGAGTATTTCATTATCGGTCCTCGGCCATTCAGATTGCGGCATCATCCGATAAGAAGGTCGAGGAACCATTCACGGAGCAGAAAGCGTGATTTTAATTATAGGCCAAGCCCCACAATTCTTAAGCTGTCGGTGATTAGTATAATGACCTTGATTAGAACTCGAACCTGGTTTATGTGCGTGTGTCACCCTAGATATCCAACGAGAAACCGCGGAAAACGCCTCCCCGCCCCCAATTATCGAAGACCTTTCGTTCTGAAAGATTATTCTGAAAGTTGGCTTACAAAGTACTAAACGTTTGAACACATGATATTTTTGAGAGAAACAGATTTTTGATCACCAGAACGTCCGGTAGCTCGAAAGGATCGCGCTACAGTGAGACTGGGTTTCTGAACAGGAAGATAACCCCGAGATTGGGAAAGAATAGAGATAAAATAGTTAGATGACAAAATTAAAAAGGAGGAGAGGGGGGGGGGGGGAGAGGATTACAGAACTTCTAGCTTTCAAATGTGTTCTAACAATGAATAGAGACAACGACAGCTGGCCTCTTTGTCCACCCACTAATCATTCCAACCAGAGCTCGGTGCTCCGACGTCCCTACGAACTCACAATTCCTTCTCGCCTCAGTTTCTGTTTGTGTTGTTTTCAACCCTGTAGCAATTCGCGTACAATAAAAATATATATATCGTAAAAAAAAAAAAAAAAAGATAGCCGCGCCCAGTCGTTTCGTCCAAAAATATTATTTCGTTCCGCAGCCCCAAATGAAGCCGTGTCCCCAATCGTGAAATACGCGACATTCGCACGATGCCAGACCATTAACCATTCCACCGATAAACGGCCATACAGATTCGGACAGGCGACAATGGCAGTGGGCGGATTTTAAATATCAACGTCCAGGTCCGAGCACTCATTTCTTTGTTTTTATATATATACTATAGTTATTTTTATATTTAATTACTTAATCTTTTTACTTTGTTTGTCGCATTTGGACGCGCCCAGCAAATCATGCCATATACGAGTGCTCGCAAAGTAGGAGTGGGGGAGGGGGGGACGACGACTATCACGTCCCCCCTTTATGACTCCATTCGGCCATTCCGCATGCCCCGGCGCGATATGGGCCGCCACGCGAAACGTGACCGGCGACCCCAAAGACCGCCTGGATTCCGCGGCCAGACGCAGTTATCAATGATTTTTTTGCCGCTTTCTCCCCCCTTTCTCAAAGCCTGTTTCCCTCGGCGCTTTCCGACTTGTTCCGACACTTTATAGATCACAGGGTACTGGATTTTCTGCTTCACTCATCGGGGGGCCAGTGCGAGGCACAGTTTGGAACGTGAGTGTTGCGTCGGCGTACGACTGGAACGCGCGTCCCCTTCCGACTGAGCACGAGTCGCTGTCGAACGGTGACGCTGCACTCTTGGACAATTTGGGCCCCGCTTCCGTTGTGGGCCGGGTATTCACTGTACGTCATAGATGAGTACACTGTTCACTGTGCATGCTCAGAACGAGATCACACTTAAAGGTTCCCAAAGACCGGCAATCTTGATGGTGCAAATGTACGCTGGAAAAAGAACTGTAGAAGTTCGTCATAGACAAGCATTGAGCTGCTACGCTGTCAGCCACGGTCGCTTTTGAACACCACCTGACAGGGTAAGAACGGCAGTGATGAGCCTCAGACGTCCCGCCTTCAACCTGAGCTTCCTACTTTGGACAACACTCCAGGGTCCCGTGCTCCTCGAGCGCGCGCGTGCATCCGCAGGGTCACCCTTGGCAGGGTCACCCTTGGCAGGGTCACCCTCGGGAGGGTCACCCTTTGGTCACCCTCCCAAGAGTGTCCCTCCACAGCGTCATGTCGCCTTCAGAAGCTTCCTACCTCCATGACTCGCACAGACCGCCGCTGACTCAGAAGCTTCTTCGTAGTAGTAAAATTGCGAGGATAAAAGGAGACTATTTCTTTTAATCTTGCCTTCATAAACCTTGATGGCGTAATTGTGGGATCGTAACCACCCGCCTGACGACAGTCGAGGGCGGCTCATGGTTTGGACCCAAGAACTGCGTGTGTACTCGACTTTGGCTCTTAACAATCAATGCCTCCGCGGACACTCGTGTCAAACCACCGCGGTAATGAGAATAGCCGAACTCAAACAATGCTTGGAGCTCAGCACGAGTTTTCTACTTTGCCAACCCCAGCGCGTGGCTGTGATTCACGTTGGCAGCGTAAGATAGGAGCCGGGTCTCGTGGCAGCTCTGGCTCCGAGCTGAGGAAATAAACAATGCCCATATTTCTCGAATTTCTTTAACGACTCCCACTGTCCAAAAAAAAAGAAAAGAAAAAAAGAAAAAAAAATTAAGGCACGTTTTTACAGGTACTAACGCGAGAGAGTGATCCTAAGTGGTATTTAACGAAAGTAGAAAAATCATATCATTCCCCTGCATACAGATTCGAACGCGAGTCACCGCGAAATCTGCGCTTCGGATGCCGCATAACAATGAGTTAAAGGAGAAACTTGTCGCGCGGCATTCGAACCACGGATATTGCTGTGACTCGTGTTTGCAGACCGTCTTTTGGATGATGTATGGGCAGTGTGACCCCGGCTTTAGGGTGGGCGACGTCTTTATGCTTATCGTCGCATTAGTTGGATCGCGGGTCGTTAGGATGTTGAATCAAAATATTTCGTCCGGAGTAGCCCTCAAAAAAGGTCGGGTGCTTGATCTCGGAGGAACGAGACGGAAACAACCATTACGAGTGGTCGTTAGGATTGCATGCTGTGTGCGGCCTGCACACAATCCACCGGCCAAAGTCGTGAAAGTCAACTGCGTTTTATCGGCCTGTTGAATAAAGCGCCACTAAAAAAAATTCTCGAGTTGAAATGACATGCGTAAAAGCTAGAACTTGCTTTGTCTACGGTATAGCGAGTTTATAAGCGACAGATATGACTGAAACGCCACCACGTTGAAAAGAGCGTAGAAAAAAGTTAGAGTGCACGCTGTCTACGGCGTATTTCGGTCGTCGTACAGCGACGCGAATGAAGTATAATGGCACTCAAACTCTGGAAAAGTTGTTAAAATGTTTTCTGAGAACTTTACGGTCCCTTTTATTGGGGTGCTTTTTCACTTTATTCCAGCGCATTTAATAACAACATAGCCGCAGCTCCTCTGTGAAATAAGGACGCTGCGCTTATTTTGTTTGTTTCGTTCTAGGGGTTGCACCAAACGACGACTTTAAAAGTGAGGCAACCTATGCAAACCAACGACGTCCTTTGAAAGCCGATTATATAGCGCGAGGGATTGGTTTACTGGTTTGGGAAGTTCACTTTCAATAAAAGTCAAGCTGTGAATATCTTTTCTTTATGGAGACATAATTTGACTAAAAACTCGCCCAGTGAGAAAGCAGTCAGGCAGTATACTGGAACAAAAACAGCAAGTGATAGTGAAGAAGCCTAGAGAGTAAGGAATGTTCTGTAGGTGGTATGGTTGGTTGCATTTTTATTTCTGATCTCGCATACCACAAAAAGCAGCATTACCCTGCCTTGAATAAACAATAATACGAATTCAGTAGGGCCATTTCAGTAGCGAGTGCTTAAAATAAAATATTAATAAAACTAATATTCGCATGTTTCTTTAACGCCTATTCGTCAAACATATAATCTGCATACATTTATACATGTTTTTCGGTAAATATGAAAACAATAAATACTGCATGTAGTATGTACATCGCACGTCTCATCTATTTTTTTTTTCACGATCTAATCATGTGTTTCATTAGAACTGTGATCAACTAATTGCATTTATTGAAACGATAAGTGGCTTTCTTAACTACCGAAAGTCACGGTCATAGGAGAGACCTCTTCAACAGAATGGCAGTCGGAATTTCTCGATTTATTTCGAATGATAGATCTGCGTTCAGTTCATATGTACCTCTCCATAGCCCATCCCCCAGACTAAACATGCCCACTCACTGGGTTGTGTAAGCACGCGCCGCGTTCATTATTCCACCGAAGAGAGCCACTGGGCATGCTCAGAACAGGTTTCACGGCCCGGTAGACACAAACGGCAGCACGCAAAAGGCAGCTATTAAAATAGTTCATAGACAAAAAAAAAAAAAAAGGGGGGGGGGGGTATGGCTGCTGCTATTTTTCATGTTCGTGCGTATGGTGCGTACTTTGCTCGCTAACTGCAAGCGACGAACATGCACGTGTTGGGTTGTGGAAATCGCACGCTTTTGATTGTCAATTAGTAGACATTCGAATGGTGTAAATACAAACACCAAGGCCGACTTGCTAGAATCGGAGTCTTCGCTTCTTAGACGATATGAAAATAAGCCCGCAAATCCTGGGGAGCATGAGCGCTTGAGACCCGACTTGACGTCCTCTCCGCTCGTGCTCTATCTTCAGCAGTGCTTTCTTTCGCACAGTCTCAGCTGAGACGGTGATTCCAGCAAGCCGGCCCTAAAATCGTTTAAAATGCATGGCGACGGCCGCCGAACAAAGCTGTCACCCAGTCCAGCGGTCTTGGTCACGTCACTTTTTCGGAAAACAATAGCGTGTAAAGCCCGGTTGTACGCTGCTGAGCAAGGTAATCCGTACGATCAACTACAACAACATTCCACGCTGCACGATGAAGCAAACATGAAACATACAGCTCTGGTGGTGCTGATGATACTGATTTTATTGTTTATATGTAGTGCTGATGGTGCTGATTTTTTTTTATTGCTGCTATAGGTAGTGCTGAGTTCCGGGTTGCGTTTCGACTTCAATATTACTGCTTTATGGTCGGTGAAATGCAGAGCCATGGATGCAAAGTTTAACGCGATTATATACGCATTTGACCGCAACGCCCTCTCCTGTATATACGTTGAGCGGCTACATGCAACGTTTCATCCATGACATCCCCAACTCTTGAGCTACTACGACATCTCAGAGCTCCCTACTCGACCCGCAGTCGTAAACGAGTGGTTAAGGCGATGGACTAAATATCGATTGGGGTCTCCCCGCACAGGTTCGAATCCTGTCGACTGCGCGAACATTTTCTTTTTTCTTTTTCTTTTTTTTTTTTTTTTTTGTGAGCACGGACAATGCTAGACTCTAAGGAACTTCGTCCGTAAAACAAAAGTGTCGAAATGTTTGCTCAGTTTTCGTGGATATAGCTTCCTTTCGGGCGAATGCAACGAACTATGCATACCATCCCCACGAACCACCCGTTTCATCACTTTGAGTACTTGAGGTGTAACTTATTACACGACCCGGCGATTAATTCCAAAGCGGGTCGCCACTTGTGCGAGCCGCCGCGGTCGTTACGCGTGGGCCACTTGCGCGCACGAGTGCGCAGTGGAATAAAATTGTTTCTCTTCTGAGTGTTCACTATTCTCTCACTTTTTATTCCTTATTTTATAGTCTGTTTGTCACTTTCCGAGGTCTCCTCTTCTCTTCAACGTTCTCCCCTTTCCCCTTTACACAAGATAAGGTTGACAACATCGTCCTCTGACAAATACGTGCATGGCATGCCAACGGGAGCCGGGCCCAGACGAGAAGCATAAAATTGTATTAGACTAGAAACTTTTATTTTATTTTTATTATACTTTTTTTTTTACAATTTAGGGTTACGTTTTATTTTTTCAAATCGGGCGTGCATGAGCTCGGCACGTGCTTGTGTAGGCTTCTCGTGCGTGCGTGGGGAGGTAAGTAATGCTCGCTGTCCCGCCGGTTTAATTGGGCGAACGCGTGGGTAAAGCGCGCTGAGCTTACCTAATTCTCGGTCATAAAGGAAGAACGAGGGAAGGGGAAGGAAAAAAGGGGAGCGTTAGGGAGAAGCTAAATTGAACGAAAGTTTCAACGGCTCCGATCTAATTTTGCGGCATCAGCTTGGCGCGTTTGTTTGAAACCCGTTCAGGAAACGACAGCGTCAGCAAGACAACTTAAAAAAAAGAAAAACGACACAAGGTTGTTAAACAATTGTGGGAATGGCGAAGTTTCTTTTTCTTTTTTTCTGTACCATAGTCATGTACATATATTGCGATCGTCGTGTATTTTCTTCGTCGATTTGAATGTCTTCTTGCATGATTGATTGCATACCTGCACTCTTTGTTTATCGCTCAAGAGAACGTGCCTAACATATTCATAAAACACAAAAAGAAAACGTAATAAGACTACAGAACATATTAAAAGGCTGCTGGCAAGGTTCCGCCGCTTTTCAGGTGCATCTTACGACACGTCAAACGTTTTGTCATGCATGCGTCGGCGGCTGCCACCAGAAGCTTCGTCGTTGTAAAGAGTATTGTCCCGCTACTTGTCAAAGCCACTCTGCAGTGTCGGCCTGTACGCTCCGACGAAGCGATAATATTAGTAGAACAATGTTCCTGGGAGATGTCGTGAGCGACGAATGTCCCTCCGGCGTTGCAACTAAATCGTAATTTTAGTGACAGTCGGCCATTTTACGCCGCTGTCAAGACGCCGTTCTTGCAGTGCGTGTATTGAACGTATCCCTAGCGCCGTGCTCGGTCATCTTTATTCATTATTTGACCCGCTGCGGGACAACCCGGTCCCTGAGAGCACGGCACTAATGTTAGAAATGACCTTGGAATGCGAAAGAGAAGTCTCTTCTCGAAGAAAGCGTGCGGTGTCTTCAAGGAGCGCGCCGATCTGGCTGTGTCTATATCAGATAAAAAAAAAAGTTGATAAAAGTAAAAATGGCTTGGCTACTATCCTCGTTGCCTTGCAGCTGTGCAATTTTTCTTAACGAGACATACGAAACCGAAACAATAGATTTTTTGTGCATTTATTTATCGATAAAAAGTACAAAAAAGTGTACAAGAAAAAAAACTTTTTTTTCGTACCTTTATGTACTTTTTTATTTAATAGATGCACTAATATTCGCGCAGCAGAATTGAATATGTGGATCTTAATTTCTTTCTAGAATGCCTTGCCCTCTTAAAAGCCCGTTTTTTTTATGCTTCGTCATCGCTTTTTCGAAAGGTGGTGTTGTGTTGTAAAGTCGTTTGATAGCAAAGCGTGCACACGATGCTGCGGCTGTAACACAGCTACATCGCGCGCGCTTTATAACGTAACTAGAAGTATTAAGTATATCGAGGTACCTTCTTAAACAAACTTATGTTTTTTTCGTTACTTTTTTTTACAAATTGTCAAAGAGTTTTTAGTTTCGCAAACGTCAAACAGTTTTAAGAAAACTTTCTTTTTTTCCCGACACGCACCACATGTGAGCATAACCAAGAAGCGTGCATGGAGTCATTTCACTGCGCAGGTGTTATCCGGGAAGACCCCTGTAACTCCAGTTGTGTACGCTGTCATCTGCAACACTGTAAAGAGACATCATACGAGAAATTGCTGGAAAGTGACAAAAACTCGATGTCGTTACCCACGTTGATAGTAGCGGAACAATATAACTCTAACGTCGATAGACCAATAGCTCCAAAAGCAACAACAGCATCGTAAACACGAAAATGACGTTTTAGATACTGCCAGTTTAGTTTTACTAAATTTTGCTGGGGGGATCGGTGGCCAAGTGGGCTAGGGCACCCGAGCTCTAAGCACGTGGAGCGAAGGATAGCGTTGCAGAACCCAGGGATCCTGGGTTTAATCCCCAACCCTGCCCCTTCAAATCTGGATGAGGATCGTACCAGCGTGCGGTCGTGTATGGCTACTGCGTGATGCACGTTAAAGACCCCAGGCTAGCGGTTGTACCGCGCTGGCTAAATTGCTATTCTACAGCTGAGAGACAAGTCACCCGTTGAGGCAGACTAATACCCCATTCACATGACCGTAAAGGTACCTTTAGCTAAGTGACCTTTATTCTCTGCGGCCAATCAATTAACAATCTTTCGCACGTGGCGTGTGCTCGCGACCGAGAGCATGGGCTGATTTGCCGATAGCAAAGGGACCTATGTTAAAGGTGCCTTTATGTTGACCGTGTGAATGGGGTATTATATCAGGCTGTATAAACATTGTGGATGTTCTATTGCCACTGTCCGATCGGACCGCGCTCCGCTCGATCACCGAGAAACCAGACAACACCCGCGACCATAAGAAAGTGTTTACTAATTACAGTTCTCTCAGTGGTCTGTCCGCTGGGTTAGCCTCCCTGGTTTTGGCGACCGCCGCTGCGTTGCCTGTCTGCCCCGATGATGCAGGTACGGCTCCGCTCCGCGATGCAGGTCTGGGACCGCGGTGAAGAATCTGTACGGGGTCGAGCGCGCTCTCGCCCCTTCCGCTCTTGAGCTCCACCAAATTCGACTGCCGCCGCCGGTGCCGTCACGTTCCCCCCTTTTTCTTTTTTGTCCCTCGAACCTCGTCGTGAGCCTCTCTTCTTCTTCGTCCCCTACAACGTACACACAAAAATTTAAAAAAAAAAAAAAATTGCATTAAAGCCCCGTTTATATAGTATAGCAGCTACACTGGTTGCCTATCTATAAATTACCGACTCTGTCATTCTATCGGACGACCAAGAACAGAAAGCACAAGCGTACAGAATATCAGCCAAATAACATAAATTGTGTCAGCTCCCGCCCAAAACCTGCCATAGCTTATCTCCAGCGCAGCTCTTGTCAACGGGCTACTGTCGTTGCAGGCTCCTGATCAATATCTGCCTAAGGCTACGCTGCCCAGCACTGGCTAGAAGAAGGGGAAATCGCCAAAATAAGACACTAAATTCAGAGAAAAGAATTGGCCATGTGTCACGAAGCGATGAAATAGTAGCTGCGAAATCTTTAGTTAATGCCTTCGAGGCCCTTCCGCCTTGTTTTCTTCCTAATTTTTTTTTATTACTATTTTCTTACGAGGACTGTTTTGTTGAATAATGTTCTAAACGTATGCTTAGTACTTGCTTCTTTCTGCCTTCCTTTTTTTCTCTTTCTTTCTTTTGGGTTGTAGGCGAGTGAGGCGTATCTACTGCGTGTTTAGAAGCGTTGTACAGCTGCAACGGAAAAAGAGTAGCACAAGAGACCGATGACCGGAGCGGCAAAACCGCGACACGCGGCGCTATTGTTCCCCGAGCTCGCCGATAGCGAGAGTGCAAGTCATGTTGCACTTCTCAAAGTGGGGGGTGGCCGGCAGAAACTTGAGGGATAAGATAGCTTTTAAAACGCAGCCTTTAAAATAAGCTGCCTGCTGCCGGCCGCCCCCGCGTTGAGACATGGAACGTGACTGTCACTCTCGCTATCAACGCGCTCGGGAACAAGAGCGCCGCGTGTCGCGATTTTGCCGCTCCCGTCGTCGGTCACTTGTGCTACTCTTTTTCCGTTGCAGCTGTACCTATCTACGTTTTCCTTGCGCCGCGAAGCGTGCTCAGTGCCGGCAAGCGTGCTTTTCTGCAAGGAGACTGTTGTTGAGGTGAAACAAACCGTGAATTGGCGGACGCAATACCCCTGTCAAGGAATAGAGATGTCGCGCCGGTGAGCGAAAACACAGAGAAAGAAAGAGCCAGAGAGAAAGAGGAAGAAAAGGGAAAAAAGAAAAGGAGAAAAAAAAAATTAAAAAAAATATATATGAACAGCAGTGTTTGATGCTTTTTTGCCTCGAGGTATGTACATGTTACGTCACGCGATATGGCTTTATACATTTAATCATCTCGAAAGCAGCGCGGTGTTTTTCACTTTTTTTTTTATAATAGTTAGTATTGTGGAAGCTCCTCCGAATATTTTTAGGTAGGAAAGTAAAGCCGGTCCGACTGTAAATATTTCTTTTCAGCCGAGGTGTACTACAAAAGTAGTTATTGTTTTAGTTTGTTAGGTTAATGTTTTGTTTCGGGCGCGCATATACGGTACGAATATGGTATGAACATCTTATATTGGGCTGCATAGGCACAAATAAAAAAAAGTACCACCGTGTGTGTTTTTTTTTAATTATTTGTACTTAAATCTTCGCTAGAAGTGCACTGCCAAGCATTGTCATGCAATTAGCATGTGTAAAACGACATGCCGATATTCTCTGGAAAATAGTTTTCTTTATCTCAGAACAATAGGAAATAGTAAGTAAAAAATCCGTTTACAACTCCCTGTAACGCCGAAT